TAATCTGAAACCTCGCTTCGAGGTGAGGCGCACCCTCAGTGAGAAGCTTAGCCTCAACTTGAGGGATGGACTCGCGAGAGGCATGCGCCCAGGATTTCCATCAGAGACTCTGTATTCAAGAAAGGCTCAATTTTACCCAGGCTCTTGTCGTTGCATCGGCTCAGGAAGCATAAGTACGTTCTAATCAGAGGTCATAAGAGGTGATGTAGTCTTCTCATTTGAGTGTCTTCTATTGTCAAATGTGAACAAGCAGAGTTTGTGCTCCAAATATACTGCGCAAAGGGTCACGCATATTGAGACATCTCGCTCCCTGTTATGTTAGTAGCTAACCATGGATTGATTCACCAGCGATATCGACGACCTCGTTAGTCGTTTGCATCTCGAAGTCTGAAGCCGTACTACGGGCCTACGGCAGACCAGTGATGGTGGGGCTATTGATGTCAAGTGTACCTTAGATGCGGACCGACCAGCCACAACCCCAGGATACAAGTGATCGTCGGCTTGTAACCTCTGGTATGAACTCATGGCTTATGATCATAATAATGACTGCAATTTCTTGTCAGCTTTGGCCAACACTTAATCTCTGTACGCAGTAAAATTCAGCAGTATTAGAGGAGAACTGGCAGGTACCCTGACTGGAATTGACCTAGCATTCATTTGAAACGCTCTGGAACAACCTGTCTCTAACTTATGGAGCAAAGCCAATTAGGCAACAAGATATCCATCCTCGACTTAGGGAAGGTAGTAACATAATCTCTCCATCAACTATTCATGCTATTTGTATTATCTGGATGTCATGAAAGTCGATACACCACAGTTTCTGTACCTTTTAGCAAGGTATTTCCATCTGATAATTAATCCCACCAGTCCCATAAGAGAGGCGTTCTCTTTCGGTACGGGCGGAGTCATCAGCACAACGCCTGTACTATGCCTGCATTAGCCAGTAAATCAACCATGAACGATAAAATTTAGGGCATAGAAGAGTTCCAGAATACAGACTCTTTTATCCAGAAGTACAGTTTCTCAAATGGCTTTAGTAATATGTATATGACCACTGCGCATTCAATAAATGATTGTGTTTATTATTGATGGAAATATCCAAGTTTACCTACCTTAGTAGCATTCTGTAGGCATGGCAATGTAACATAGTCTGCCAAGCCCCATAAGATACATAGAAATTGTGGCTCTGTTTCGGCTCCATCCTCTCCCGGGTCCAATGCCATGTGTGCCTGAGTTCCTGAAAACATATATTATTAGTGATAATCGACTACGCCTTCCTGTGGTCGACATCTGCTCCAGCGGCCGTCTCACTTCCATCCATCCTTTTCATCGCCGTAATCCCTTTTATCATTTCTAAATCAATATCCGCATCGTCATGGCCACCCAAAGCAGCTTCATGACCGCAATGAGCAACCGCTCGCTCCGCACTGTCCGATCGGTATGATGATGCCGCACTGGTTTCTCCATCTTCCCAACGTCTGTCGCACACCTTGCTAATATATCTCAGGAGCTCGAGTTTCTTGCAGATGCTTCGGTCATTACGCGTCAGCAACTCTCGTCGATCCTGGCCCAGCTGCCTAATGAGGCCCCTCAACAAGCCGCTACACCAGTTCCTCAGCCACAACAGCAACAACCGGTTGTCGCTCAATCTCAACCTTCCCCGGCATCATACGCTCCTCCCACATCGCAGTTCGCCAATAGCTCTTTGAACGAAAAGGCGGCTCTGCAGCAACAACAATACTCGACCCCCTCTGTTCCCCCACCCGCTTACCCTCAAGCTGCGCCCGTATTGTCCGTCGCTACAGCACTCTATGCTTATACCCCAACAGATGCTGGAGATCTTGCTCTGCAGCCACACGACCGTGTCCAAGTTTTGGAACACATGAACGCTGATTGTACGTTGGTTTGAAGGCGATGCCAGGGAATTCAAGCTAACAGACATAGGGTGGCGTGGCCGTAATGAACGGACCAACCTTGAGGGTATCTTCCCTCGCAGCTATGTGAACGTAATAGAAGAGAAGGGAGTGTCGTCTCCCCCTCCTACCAACTATGGAAATGTGCCCCTTGACGTTAGCCAGAGCGGCTCAGCTGCCCCGGATGGAAAGCGGCCGGGCGGCAAGTTCGAGGAGCATGGCAAGAAGTTCGGAAAGAAGATGGGCAATGCCGGTACGTCGATTGTGGCTCCATTTATTTGTGTTTGCAGCCACTAACTATGTCTTAGCTATCTTTGGTGCCGGTGCTACTATCGGCTCCAACATTGTGAATAGTATCTTCTAGCGTTGATCCCTCGAGTCTTCTCGGGTTTTGAGAATGGGTTCTTCCTCAGTCATGGGAACGGCGTTCAGGCGGATTTTTTGCTCAACCTATCCTAGGTATTCTTAATGAAAATATCAGGTTTGAGAACAATATGTGGATCATGACGCACAGCATTGATGATCATTGCTGCTCAAACAAGTTGTCTGTGCCTGACAATCACCTATCAGATGAATCGACAAGCTTCGACCGGGTCCCCTCTCTTGTATAAAATCAGCGCATTGGGTACGCTATAGCCGCCTCTGTGGTGTAGTTGGTTATCACGTGAGTCTCATATATCCTATATGATCAGATGCAGCACTTCTGGGACATCTCAAGGTCGGGAGTTCGATCCTCCCCGGAGGCAGTTAGGCTAGTTTTCTTTTTTCCCTGTCATTCTATTTTTGCCCCGCTGTATACAGAATACGAGGACTACGTCAAATGTTTTGGTTGCATCCTCTTCACTGTGTGACGTTGAAGTAGTTCACGCACCATCATTTCATACAGATTCCGCTTATTTATGGTGGCGTTAAAGCCATTGTACAATCAACAAGTGTTTTAAGAAGGCAAAGAGGAAAATTAAATGGGATTGCACTCAATCCTCTCTCTCCCGTAATTAAGAAGAGAAACTCTTCTATAATACCCGCATGATAGCCATGTCGCTCCTGACTCCAGATTTGGCAGATGTATGTTAACTCGGCACGAACTACGGAGTATATACGGAGCATCTCCAAACCCTCTTTGAGACTCCGAATGAGTGGTAATGATGTCAGCATCACTAGTCCCAGAGAGGAATAGTGCATGACTCCCCTCTAAACTGCGCCGCTCAGGGCTCGAGAAGCTTCTGTGTCATCAGTATAAATTCGGGTGGCTCTGTGGACTCTCTCCTTCTCAGTCACAACCTCACGCGATCAATCTCTCCGCCACCCTCTACTCTACCACCTCGGACACCTCTCTCATTCCCAACATCGTCCTCCATCAAGACCTCCATACGCTTCGAGCATACACATCCTTCAAAATGAGTGAGTGGGATTCTGTCACACGCATTGGAACCAAGCACCGTGCTGGTGCCGCTCCCCGAGAGACAGTAGTCAAAGGAAAGAGCGCTCTGAACGCTGCTCAGCGCCAGGGTCTCGTCATTGCTACTGAGAAGAAGTACGCAACTGGCAATGCTGTATGTTCTGCATTCACACCCCTCTCCATATTGAATACCTACTAACGTTCGCAAAAGGCCGGAAAGACAGCCGCCATGGAAGGTCAGCACCTGACAAAGGTCGACCGAAGCGACGACATCGTCAAGCCCAAGACCGTTGGTCTCCAGGTCGCAGACGCCATCAAGAAGCGCCGAAACGAGGAGGGCTACAAAATGACACAGAAGGAACTCGCCACCAAGTGCAACACCACCATCACAGTCATCCAGGACTTTGAGAGGGGTACGGCCGCGCCCGACCAGAAGGTCCTGAGCGCTATGGAGCGTGTGCTCAATGTCAAGCTCAGAGGCTCGGACATCGGGAAGGAGAAGTTCCCTAAGAAGAAGTAAAACGGGGGTGAGCCCACACCTTTTTCTTAGGGAAGATGAAAAAACTCAAGTTTTTGATTTTTCCTGATGTCCTTTCTTTTGTGTCATGATACGCCTTTTTTCAGTTAGAACCTATGTCCTTTTTATGATCTTTATGTTTTCTGCTGGTCGGAAGAGCGCTGGGCTGGCATTGAAACGGTTCATATATCGCGGCATAAAAATACCACTTGCTTTTCGGGCGCTTCTACGGACTCGCTTTGCGTTTTTATCCTTGTTTCTGGACTTTCATCGTCATAAGAGGGATTTGATGGCATCCACGGGGATTGCAGATTGCAAAGTTGGGGACTTCTTTCAGGTTGCGCGCCGGTTTCGCCGAGTTGTCTATAGAATATCTCACGGGTATAGAACAATAGATGAAGTGGCGCCTAGTGTGCGGATCTTTGGACAAAATAATTCAAATGTTAGCGAAAGTGACGCCCAAAAAGACCAACACGGTAAATGCTTCAAGGCCTGTCAAGGGCCTCTACTGAATTGCAGTGCGTCGAGAATGTTACGGGGTTGCTCCAGAGTAGCAGAGGTGGCAAACCGACGTCTACCAGGGTAAATGTGGCCAATGGCGCAGTAAACCCAAAGGGTCTCCGGAAAAAGTCTTGAAAGTCAATTGTTCGTGCTATTTCTTCATTGGCAGAAAGGTTGGCCAGAAATACAGGTAATATGTTGATTGAAAAGTCTATCCCTGAGTATTTTTCGGACGATAGGTGCTCAATTCTTATAAAGAAGCCAACGTATTGAAGCCATCCAGATCAGGCACCCATCGGCACTAACGAAGTAATGGACATCAATAGTATTGCTGACGAGGGTATTTCGTCCGCCTGGGCACATAATTCAAGTGAATATGGACAGTGAAGGAGCTCTGACGGGAAGAAGCAAAAGGGCAATTCTTTTGATTAAGATGGCAAGAGGACGACGTAGGATGATGATGGAGAACAAGAAAGAAATAATTGTGAAAGAGGTACCAACTCCGTAGATGAACGAGAAAATCATGCCCTGTATTGACCCCGCCAGGTCTTCTACCCATTTCCGCCGCGCCTGGCTTTTCCTTCTTTTATGAGCAAAAAAGCGTCCGTCTCATGACTCATACAGATAATGCATGACTTGAAAAGCAAAGAGCTTGTGGATATCACCCGACTCACTTCCTCAGCTGCTCTCTCTCGACCTCGTACATGAAATCAAAGTAGGGCTTGTCAAAGTGGTGCACACGAACGTAACCGTCCTCACCACCGGAGGCATATGCTGTGCCGTTGGGGTGGACGTCAACAGTGTTGAGGGGACCGAAGTGGCCTCTGACACGGCCAATCTCGTCCTCGAAGACCTTGTGGTAGAAACGGGCCTCGAATTTACCCTGTCGGGCGGAGGTTGTTGTGACATCCATGGCGGCCTGGCCACCACCCAGGATCACGTAGTCCTTCTTGGGAGTGATGGTGGCGCTGTTCAGGGGAGTATCGGCAACGTATGTTTTGAGGATGGCGAGGTTACGAGAGGAGATGAGCTAGCGATGGTCAGCTTTGACAACATATGGACAGACAGAAAGGATCAGGACAAACCTTGGCGGACTTGTCTTTGGAGGCAGTGATGAAGTAAGTACGGTCCTGAGAGAACTGGATGTCGTTGATCTGGTGATCGAACTCGTGCGCCTGGACGTTCTCCAGCTGCTCACCAGTCTGCACGCAAATTAGAATAAGTTTACAAGTTCCAGGAGCAGAATAAGCCCACCTTTCCATCGTATTGGCTGACACTGCCGTCTTCGTGTCCAGCAATGATGTACTTGCCCAGATAACTCCAGCCAGCCACGGTGGCCTTGCTCTCTGTGCAGGTGATTCTCAAGCTAGGCTCATCGGCCTGGTTCTCTAGAGCACCACCCTGACTATCTCCATAACTGATGTCGAGCACAGCGATCGTACCGAGGAATCCCATACGCTTTTCCGTCACAGCCAGCAGCCTGCTTCCATCGGGATTGAATTCGACCCGCTTCACAGCGGTAGGGAAATCCCAGACCTTCACGCACTCGCCAGTCTTTACGTTCCACAATCGCACAGTGTTGTCTGCCGAGCCGGTCGCCAGGAGAACTGTGTTGGGGCTGACATCGACCGTCCAGATGGCACCCTGGTGGCCACTGTAGGTACCAAGTCGCTCGCCGTTGGCCGACCACCAAGCACATACGATCTTATCCTTCGCCACGGAGAACAGGAGATCGCCATCGCGGTTGAATTTGATCTGGTTGAGGGACCGTTCCTGCAGAAGATGAAATATCAGTCGCTAGTCCAATAAAAGCGGCAAAGCAAATCCTGGTGGAGATTTGAGGGCACAACGTACATGGCCCGAGAGCAGAATAGGCCTCATCTTGGGCCAGAAGAAACAATGTCCGGGTGTAAAGAAAAAAGAATAGACTTGGATTAAACGTCCTCCGCAACAGGAGTGTCCAGTACTTGCGTTATTGAGGCGGGGATGCTGGCGGGCTGTCGTTGTCGGCGTCGTCGACTAATTATTCTTAGTGAATTTGATCGCACAGTTCAGTCAGGCGTTGCGCGCCAAGACCTTTGCCTATTCGAGGTTGTTTGCCTGAGGGGCAAACAATTGTCGGAGTGAGGATATTCCGATGTCGAGCAGCGTCTGCCTCAGGCTCTTGACAAATCGGGCAGCCCTTATCACCCCTAACCTAAACCAGCCGTACGTATTCCTGATCGAGTCAAGACCTATCTGCATCTTACATAACCCTTTTTTAGTAAGACAGAGTCAAGCATTTGCATGTGAGGATCTAGCGGGACAGTTCCCAAGGTAGTTATCATGGAATGACTCAAAACTCAGAAGAGATTTTTCTTGTTTCCCTCAGGGAATGGGACAAATTTGAAAAGTCCGTTGACTTAACTCAGTGCTCAATGTATAGATGAGCCCATCATTGGATCTCTTCAATGTTTTTTGCTGTGTAATTATCTATAGGGTCACTCCTTTAATCCCTTCCAAGGTGGAGCTTAAGTTGTCAATTACTTTCCCGACGGAAATCTCCTATCGTCACTCGTCCGAGGGCTGCACCTAAAGCCCCAACAAGCAGCAGTCGATGCCCTTTTCCCCCGCTCGTTCGGCGACATTACCCCGCTGTGCTGTGAATTCGAAGATCTTCCCCTGTCGTCTTCGCAGTCAGCTTTACTTTTCTTACATCTTCCCATCCTTGACTTCACCTCTCCTTGGAACTTCTCGACATCACTTCGCTGGACGTGTGGTCGACTTTCCCGGTTCCAAGGCCTTCCCGAGATCATCACTTTCCCGTCGGCCATTCTCCAGCACATCTACCATCATGACGGCCACAAAGATTGATGGCACGGCCATTGCCAAGAGCATTAGAGAGGGATTGAAAGCCGAGATTGCAAAGATTCAAGAGTCCAATCCTCGGTTCAAGCCGAGTTTGGTTATCTTCCAGGGTACGTTTAGCTGGACAACATGAAACCAACCCGGCGGAGGTACTGACATTGCTTCAATTTTTAGTCGGCAATCGATCGGATTCGAGTAAGTTTGATGACATTCAACGCCTAGATATAAGGGGTGTTCTAATTTGCTTCAAGGCACATATGTGCGCATGAAATTGAAGGCCGCTGAAGAGGTATGGATATAAATCTCGTAAATCTCCGACCATACGCCTTTGGACCCTTACTGATCCACTGCATCTGTAAAGGCGAACATTCTCTGCAAGATTGTCAACTTTCCCGAATCGATCTCTCAGCCTGAGATCCTTCAGGAAATCACAAAGGCTAACAACGATCCCTCGGTGCACGGCATCCTCGTCCAACTTCCCCTTCCTAGCCACCTGTCCGAACATACAGTCACATCTGCAGTTGCGGACGAAAAAGATGTCGACGGTTTTGGCGCAATCAATATTGGAGAGTTGGCCAAACGAGGTGGCCATCCCCTCTTCGTTCCCTGCACCCCGCTGGCTGTTATGGACCTCCTCAAGGCAAGTGGAGTAGACCCCGCCGGCAAAGAGGCAGTGGTTCTTGGCCGTAGTGACATCGTCGGTAGCCCTGTCAGCTACCTGTTGAAGAATGCAGATGCCACCGTGACTGTCTGCCACTCCAAGACGCCGGACATCCCCCGCATCGTGAAGAACGCCGACATTGTTGTTGCAGCCATTGGGAAGGCAGAGTTCGTCAAGGGCGACTGGCTGAAGCCTGGTGCCGTTGTTATCGATGTCGGCATTAATTACAAGCCTGATCCTTCGAAGAAGTCGGGACAGCGTCTCGTCGGAGACGTCGACTTCGAGGCCGCCGCAGAGGTAGCTTCGCAGATCACTCCGGTTCCCGGAGGTGTCGGTCCCATGACAGTTGCCATGCTGCTGAAGAACGTCGTTACTTCGGCCAAGGCTTACTTTGAAAAGCAGCGGGACAGACATGTTACGCCGCTTCCCATCAGGCTGGTCCGGCCTGTTCCTTCCGACATTGCCATCTCCCGTGCTCAGTACCCCAAGCCCATTACTCAAGTCGCCGCGGAGGTTGGCATTGCTCCCCACGAGCTGGAGCCTTACGGCCACACCAAGGCTAAGATCAGTTTGAGTGTTCTAGACCGCTTGGCTCACCGTCGCAACGGACGTTATGTCCTGGTGTGCGGTATTACTCCTACGCCTCTTGGAGAGGGCAAGTCCACGACTACACTCGGTCTTACTCAAGCGCTGGGCGCACACCTGAACCGGATCGTATTTGCCAATGTCCGGCAACCGAGTCAGGGTCCCACCTTTGGTATCAAGGGTGGCGCTGCCGGTGGAGGCTACAGCCAGGTCATCCCCATGGACGAGTTCAACCTCCATCTGACCGGTGATATTCACGCGATTACTGCTGCCAACAACCTTCTGGCTGCCGCCATTGAAACTCGCATGTTCCATGAAGCTACCCAGAAGGATGCTGCTCTTTACAAGCGGCTGGTCCCTGTCAAAAAGGGCAAGCGCGAATTCCAGCCCATCATGTTCAGAAGACTCAAGAAGCTTGGCATTACTAAAACGAACCCTGACGATCTTACCGAGGAAGAAATCCGCCGTTTCGCGCGTCTTGACATTGATCCGCAGACAATCACCTGGCGCCGTGTGTTAGATGTCAATGATCGCCATCTCCGAGGCATTACCGTCGGACAGGCCCCTACTGAAAAGGGTCTGTCACGCGAGACGGGCTTTGACATCTCCGTGGCCAGTGAATGTATGGCCATCCTTGCGTTGAGCAACAGTCTCGAAGACATGCGCGAGAGATTGGGACGCATGGTCGTTGCCACCTCTAAGAGCGGGGACCCCGTGACTTGCGACGATATTGGCGCCGGAGGAGCCTTGGCCGCCCTGATGAAGGATGCTATCAAGCCCAACCTGATGCAGAGCTTGGAGGGAACTCCAGTGCTGGTCCACGCCGGGCCCTTCGCCAACATCAGTATTGGTGCCAGCTCTATCATCGCCGATAAATTGGCGCTGAAGCTTGCCGGTACTGAACCCGATGAGGATCACGAGGCTAAGACTGGTTTCGTGGTTACTGAGGCCGGTTTCGACTTCACCATGGGAGGTGAGCGTTTCTTTAACATCAAATGCCGGTCTTCTGGTCTCTCCCCAGACTGTGTGGTCATTGTTGCCACCGTCCGGGCTCTGAAGGTTCACGGTGGCGGGCCAGAGATCAGCCCTGGAGCGCCGCTCCACGAGATTTATCGCACTGAGAACACCGAGATCCTCCGCAAGGGCTGTGTGAACCTCAAGAAGCACATCCAGAACGCCAAGATGTACGGAGTGCCGGTGGTTGTAGCCATCAATCGGTTTGAGACGGACACGGAAGCCGAAATCGCTATCGTCCGCGAGGAGGCTATTGCTGCCGGTGCGGAGGATGCCATCCCTGCCAATCACTGGGCCGAGGGAGGTGCCGGAGCCGTTGACCTTGCCAAGGGAGTGCTGGCAGCTAGCTCCAAGCCCAAGGACTTCAAGCTCCTGTACGACTTGGAGGGCAGCATCCAGGAGCGGATTGAGCGCATTGGAAAGGCCATGTACGGTGCGGAGAAGGTTGAGTTCAGCGAGCTGGCTCAGAAGAAGGTCGACACCTACACGGCACAAGGCTTCTCCAATCTTCCGATCTGCATTGCCAAGACCCAGTACTCCTTGAGTCATGATCCCGCGCTCAAGGGCGCCCCAACGGGCTTTACAGTTCCCATCCGTGATGTTCGGCTGGCGGTTGGAGGTGGATATCTGTAAGTGTTTATTTTACCACATGGCTCCAGCGGATCAATCGGCTAACCAGTGGATGAACCCACACAGTTACGCACTTGCGGCAGACATTCAGACCATCCCCGGATTGCCGACTGCTCCGGGTTATCTGAACGTTGACATCGACACCGAAACCGGGGATATTGACGGCTTATTCTAGGCTGATTGAGATCGTCCCTTGGTGTTCAGCGCTTTTCTCATTTTCGGAGTGATGTTTATCTCCTCCGGTTTTATACCATATTATTGATTGTGATGTACACTTAATTCAACATGTATGAGCATGAGAACATTGGATTGGATGGTTGTGTCTAGATGCCGGTGGTCTTCAACATACTGGGAGAGAAATAAGAGCGGGGTCTCGGAGTTGGTTCTAACCTCCCCGATACGTGGGACAGAGCTAGGTAGTAGTAAATATATCATAGAAATGACAGACAAAAATTCCCACCAACCTGCGCCGTGTCTGGGAGACTGATATTAATCGACTCAGATAATTAATCATCGATATTATCACTTGATAACTTGAATCTCTCACCGAAGCCAATTCCACTCTCATGCTGTACCATAACATCCGCATATAGGCGATCTCGGTGTATCGCTTTCCGGCGGTACGTAGTATATTATGGCATCCGTTGCCGCGGGAAACCGAGGTTATTTTTGATGTACACCTCCCATTTCAGAGAGACAAAACGGAACAATATTAGTAGGAAACAATATAAGGAGCACCTTAGTAATAAAACTGGATGGCATGGTCATTCTTTGTTAATTAGAAAATCAGGATCATGAACATCAGTGTAGGTAGATATGGAGTAGTGTCCGTGGGTTCATGGTAGTGGTTCATTCGAAATGTCCGGCTTCGGCGCTTTGAGCGGAGTTCCAAGTCCTGCTAAGGAAAAAAGGTCAACAAAACAACTAATTCAGAACACTTGAAGGACGTGAGGAGCAAAAAGAATCAGTCATAAAGCAACCGGGCAAAGGCTTTTCCTCCTGGGATAAGAGGACGCTTTCTCCTTCATCCTTTTGGACTGGATTTCTTCACTTGGACGTTCCCCAAATCTTCCTCCCACCCCCAAACTATTACTATCATCACCGTTAAGCAATTTTCCGGGCGGTCCGTTCTGCCCCGTGTTGCCCCAGAGATTTAGCAAGTGAGAGCTCTTGAACCTGTAAGTTATGCTTGTTCCCTGACCATCTTCTCCGGCTTGACGGCTGCTTCCGACTCCACTGTCCTCCTTCCAGCCGAGCCTCTTCTTGCTATTCCCTCGGGTACTGCGAGCTTGTGAGTCTGCAAAGTCCACGCTTGGCTGACTGAAGCAACCTGGTTTTCCCCCTAGAAGCGAAGCGGAAGTACCGATTTGCGAACCGCCTTGGGCCGACCAATATCCACGCCATACTCTTTGTTTCCAATAGGGCCGGGACGTAGAACCAGCGAGGGCAGGAGCGCGAGAGTGTTATACTGCAATTTCCCTAATCCCAGATCGATATGAGCTCCCTCCGTCTCAGTTCCGCTTTTGCGCGACGCTCCCTCCACGCCTGTGCCCCTCCTCGATCTGCCCCTCTCTATTCCTCCGCTGTTCGCTTTTCTTCCCTTTCCTCTTCTACTTCTTCTGTCTCCTCGACTTCCTCTTCTTCCTTCTCTACCTCTGCTGCTGTAGCTCGTCCTCAGCGTACTCTTGCTTCGTCCTCGCTCCCTGCTTCTTCCCGCTGGTCCGGAGAAACCTCGTTTCGTTTGAACCAATCGCGCACCATGGCCACCGAAGGTACCAAGATCAAGGTCAAGAACCCAGTCGTTGAACTGGATGGCGATGAGGTAGGTTTTCTCTCGTCGGATTTGAAATTCGAATTCGATCTGCAGCTAGATCGCTTGCCTCCCCCCGTTCTTTATATAACCTTTGCTGGTTTCACTGTCACAAGCGCGTCGGACGTGCATTTTCGTCATAGTCTGCGAGAACGCGGGGAAAAACGGCGGACTGCGCCTGTTGTACCTGGACAAAGCTGTCAATCTTCCGAGGATTATTGACTCATACCAAACAATGCTCGCTCGATTCACATGTTGTTTGTTTGATGGATATGTGGGCTAACAATTGGTGTTTCAACTATTCTTAGATGACCCGTATCATCTGGCAGGAGATTAGAGAAAAAGTAAGTCCTTCGTCCCCTGCCTCCCCCCTGTCGCTGCCAGCTCTATCTGCATGCGGGCCGTTCCTCTCCGAAGCTTTGCGATCAATCACCTTTTCTCTCTGTGAAGCTAAGACTTATGTCACTGACTTATCGTCTCTTTAAAGTTGATCCTTCCGTAAGTCTGTCTTTGTCGACTGTCTTCGGCGGAGTCCCGGTGGGATGTGAACTGAGATTCTGGATTAGTTACCTTGACATTGACCTCAAGTATTACGACTTGGTATGATACACTCTTGATATTTGGTAATCGAAGTCCTCGACGCTAATTTCCTTCCAGGGTATTGAATACCGTGACCAGACCGATGACAAGGTCACCGTTGAGGCTGCTGAGGCCATTAAGAAGTATGGTGTTGGAGTCAAGTGCGCCACCATCACCCCCGATGAAGCCCGTGTCGAGGAGTTCAAGCTGAAGAAGAGTATGCCCTGCCGCCTCACTTCATTCGAACTATACTCTAACTAGTTCCTCAAGTGTGGCTGTCTCCCAACGGTACCATCAGAAACATTCTGTATGTTGTCCGCAATCTACTGGTACTCCTTCCGGTCAAATGCTAATCCCTTGTAGCGGTGGAACGGTCTTCCGTGAACCCATCGTCATTCCCCGTATTCCTCGTCTCGTCCCCGGCTGGAACAAGCCCATCATCATTGGTCGTCACGCCTTCGGTGACCAGTACCGTGCTACCGACATTGTCGTCCCTGGGCCCGGTAAGCTCGAGCTCGTCTACACCCCTGAGAACGGTGAGCCCCAGGCCATCAAGGTCTACGACTTCACCGGCGGCGGTGTTGCTCAGACCCAGTACAACACCGATGATTCCATCCGTGGCTTCGCTCACTCCAGCTTCAAGATGGCCCTGATGAAGGGTCTGCCCCTGTACATGAGCACCAAGAACACCATTCTGAAGAAGTACGATGGCCGCTTCAAGGATATCTTCCAGGAGATCTACGAGTCTACCTACAAGAAGGAGTTTGACGCCAAGGGCATCTGGTACGAGCACCGTCTCATTGACGACATGGTTGCTCAGATGATCAAGAGCGAGGGTGGGTTCGTTATGGCTCTGAAGAGTGAGTTCGCCCTGGTGTCTTTCCATTATGAATGTCTTTTGCTGATTGACGTCTGAAGACTACGACGGTGATGTTCAGTCCGATGTCGTCGCTCAGGGTTTCGGCTCCCTTGGCCTAATGACCTCCACCCTGACCACCCCTGATGGTAGCGCCTTCGAGTCCGAGGCCGCCCACGGCACTGTCACTCGTCACTACCGTGAGCACCAGAAGGGCCGTGAGACCTCCACCAACCCCATTGCCTCTATCTTCGCCTGGACGCGTGGTCTGGTCCAGCGTGGCAAGCTGGACGAGACCCCCGACGTCGTCGCCTTCGCCGAAGAGCTCGAGCGCGCCTGCATTGACGTCGTCAACGAGGAGGGCATCATGACCAAGGACCTGGCTCTGGCCTGTGGCCGCAAGGAGCGTGAGGCCTGGGTTACCACCAAGGAGTACTTGGCTGCTGTTGAGCGCAGACTCAAGTCTAACCTTAAGGCCAGACTGTAAGCGTTTTAACTGTTTCGATTTGTTCTATTCTTTGATTTGCATTGATTGTACTTAAATACCATTTTCAGCATGAAGGCTTTTCTGGAATAGCCGCAATATAAAATTTTTTTTTGGATAGATTCGTTGCCTCGTTCAAGACTATCTCACTTGCAGCAGACAGCTTTCCTTGTTGAATTTGGAGCTGCCTGAGGCATGCTGTGTTGTGCTCAAGGTCGCAGACTCGCAGCCCCACTCAAGAGGCAAGCTGTAAGGGTCTTGCCTCTCGACAATCGACATTATTCTTCACGTGTCGAATTGCTTCTCATTATACTTTTCGAAGCCAACACCAATAGTTCCATTGACGGTTCTACATCCTTGACCCACCTAACTCCCTCGAGAAGTGAGTGGAGGATCAGCAAGGGGACCCTCATGCCTGAGGGAAATACTGGGGTCACGCCGGAGATGTCTCGGGACTGGTATGTAGGGGCCATTCGATGCTGGCATTTGATCCGCCACCCATGTCGCATTGGGACAAAGTAAGTTTCACTATACCAGTCAAAATCGTGCGTTGTGGAAGGCCCACCATGAGCTAATGTTTCTTGGTAGGATTGAACGATCCAGATGCGGGCAGAGTTTGTGCTGACGCAATAGAGTCACATTCCAATGAGGATGTCTTAATAAGCAGTTGGCCACAGCGACATACCTCCATTCAACTCAGTAACATCAGGCAGATAAGTTTGCAAGATGTCTTAAGAATATGGAGCAGCAGCTATTCTCATCAATTGAAGACTGAGTGCTGTCGAAGATGCCGTCGCCTCTTCACGGCGACTCCCTTCACTCATGGACATGACCGCCCGGATATTGGGCGTTACCACTGCTCTCTTAGTACTGTCGACCTTGACGGTTGCCCTGCGGTTATACACTCGGTTTGGGATTGTTCGAACACCAGGTTGGGACGATGCATTGATTGTTGCGGCAGTGGTAAGCTAATGAAACGGTCGCTTGATTTATGTCCGAGCACGACTGGTTGACGAACCAAGGGAACGAACTATGTCTTCTATGCATGTCTAATCATAGGTAAGTCACGGGCTTGTGTGAAGCCGTGGCTTCAACTTATCCTCGAGTAGAACTTCGACACCACTTGGGAGAGAAGCAAGATGCAGTCAGCGAGCATGATATGCGAATTCAGCTCAAGGTACGTGCTTCACACTTGAAGTGAGGCCATGCTAACTAACTCGACCCGCAGGCCCTCTGGCTCTCTATCCCATTTTATAATCTCACCCTTACGCTGGCCAAAATCTCCATGATCCTGCTGTATATGCGTCTCTTCGCCTCCACGAACAAACGCTTCCGAATCCTTCTCATTGTCTTTCTCGTCTTCATAGTCATTGTCAGCCTATGGACCCTCTTCAGCACTATCTTAATATGCCTCCCAGTCCGCGGGTTCTGGGACCACTCCGTTCCAGCCACATGTCGCTCCTTCGCGGTAGTGTGGTGTCTCAATGCTGCGCTGCAGATCGTAACGGATATAGTGGTCGTGACGACCCCGATACCCACCCTCGCACGGCTCCGTCTACCAACGAGACAAAAGTTCGCCCTGATATTAGTGTTTGCTTTGGGGTTCTTGTACGTCTCTCCCTGCCCCCTCCATCGTCCAACCCTATACTAACGCCTCCAGCGTCTGCGCAATGAGCATCATCCGCCTTGTTAGAATCATCCAACTCGTCAGCGGCGACAGCGACGAGTTCTCCGGTAACATTGCACACCCCAAATCTACCCGCCACAATACTGACAAGATCATAAGAGCGCAACGGCCCAGCAGCAGCCTGGTCCTCCATCGAAGCCAACATCGCCATCATCTGCACCTGCCTACCGCCAATCCAACCCCTCCTCACGCGCATCTGCCCGCGCCTGCTCTCTTCGCGCCCGCGCCCGCGCGACAGTCAACGCCAACGCCAACGCGAAAAGGACCTACCCTCTGTCTACTCGTTCCATCTTAATAACCCGTTCGCTGTGACGAGTGGGAATTATTCGGCTAGCATCACTGGAAATTGCTCCGTCAATGGGGATGAGTTGCAGGACACGGATGGGATCCAGGTTGTTAGGGAATTGAGGTGGGACTTGGATCATGCGGAGAGAAGATCCGACAGTACCACTGAGAGGGAGAGTGCGAAAAAGCAAAGACGGGATTCGGGGTTTGCGGGGTGATTGCCTGGTTTTCGACTCTCTGGTTTTCGAGGGTTGAATGTATAGAATTTTGTAGGTTTGGGAAGTTTATAGACTTGGTGTGAAGATGTTATAAGTCCGTAGTGGATGAGCCGGATAATTATTTATATTGGAGAATATAAAGAGATGCATGTACAGGTTGTCTATGCTCAGGTACATACATATACGCTCGACCAATCACTGAGGAACAAAGGTACCGTTTTTACACTCAAACCCCAGTTTGGGGTTCAGCTCCGCCGTCGCCTTCATGCAAATAACGCTAGGCGAGTCCTTACTCTGCGGGTAAAGCCGGATACCCTCTGTCCTGAAGTTCTTGCAGGAGGACTCGGTGTTGCACTCGAGCACGATGGCCTCGGTATGTTTCAGGTTCGGCAGACCGGCGTTGTACCAGCACGGATTGGTAACGCACGATCCATCGCCGGGGTGGTAGGTGTTGATGGAGCCCGAGAAATTGGACCAGGTGAAGTCCTCCATCATGACGGACGAGGAGGGGTCGATCGTACCCGACCGCGAGGCGCTCTGGTCGGAGTAGCTCTGGGTGACGAAGATGGGGAACGTGACGTTGAAGACGCGGATGTTCTTCCAGACGACGTTCTTGACGAGACCCTTGCCGCCGGACCAGGACTTGAAGCGGGCGGCGTACAGCGCGTCGATGACGGTGACGTCCTCGAAGCGCAGGTTGGTGATGTTGGCGAAGTCGGTGGGGTCTTTGCCTAGCGAGCCAATGCTCATGCCATGCGACTGGTAGCCGATGGTGTTGCGGGCGAAGACGATGTTGTGCGAGGGGGTGTTGACGGCGATGGCATCGTCGCCGTTGTACATGACGCTGTCGGTGATGCTGATGTTGGTCCCCTCGACGTCGAAGCCGTCGGTGTTAAAGGGGAAGCCGCCCGTCGATTTGGCGTCGACGATGGCGTGGGTGACGGTGATGTCGTCGCCATGTAGCTTGACGTTCCACGCGATGGGCTTGCGCGAGCGGAAGTTCTTGATCGACGCCTGGCTCGTCTTGTAGCTCATCAGGTGCGGCCGGTTCGGGAAACTGCTGCTGTTGGCTGGGTTTGCGTCCCACCAGGCCTGGCCGTACGAGTTTATCCAGCCATTGTTGATGTCGTCGGCTCCCGTCCAGTCGACGCGGGGGCCCTGGAACGTGAACCAGGTATTTTGGCCGGATTTGACGATGTTCTGTACGGCGGTGATGTCCTGGGGAAGATGCAGGTTCCCGAGCACTCGAATCTCGACGTTGCTGAGATTGGTCGCTTTGATCGGGTGGAAGATGTTGTAGTCAACACCCTCCTGGAAGATGATGACCGAATTCTCTGCGCATTGGGCAAAGGCGCCGGCGACGGCAGGGGAATCATCGGCGGTTCCCTGAGACGATGTGTAGCTCGAAGGAATCACACATTTTCTCGAGCGAGCTTGTGTCGATTGATTGGGAGCTCCCAAAGCCAGCGGGGCAAGAGAGGCAAGAATGCCCAGAAGAGCTGGGTTGGTAATCAGCATGATGGACTAGTAGAAAAGTAGTTACTGGGGCACATACCATGGACGCATAGCTCGGTGAATTTAAATAGTTTCCATCAAGACAGCTTCATCGAGCAGGACCTTCAGGAGTTACGGTGTACTATTGCACGGAGAAACTCGAAAGTTAAATAATTTGTATGGACGGAAATTTGAGCTCCACCCGTATAGAGCTGATCAGAGCCAAGATGGATGCTTAGTAGGGGGTCATCGGTCATCGCATTGGTGGAGGAATTAGGACGGAGACTGGGGACAGACAATATGGGTTACCCCATAGTTGACGGTAGCTAATTGACTAGCCGAAGTTATTATCATTTCGAGATGAAGATCTCCAGTATCTGCTTTGAGTCTTGATCTGGACATCTGGAGTTGGCAGATCGACGCCGAGGGCCTTGCAGCCTCAGGCTCTGACCCTTGCACCTGACCTAGTAAACTCAAGCTTATGTGGAGACGGTGGGCCACCGTGATCTAGATAAACATCGACAACAACCACCCCGGGCGATTCTAGCTAGACAGCTCGAACCACCAAACTATTGATACTCACCTTCAGGCCACTAGCTCTACCCAATCACAAATCATCATGGCATCTACGTCTACATCCCCATCCCTTAGCTCCAACTCGACTCCCAACATCTCCGCGTCTGACGCCGTCCTCCACCTCAGCAGTGCTACACACATCGACGCACCCTCACAAGATGTCTGGAACGCCCTCATCGACACCTCCACCTGGCCAACATGGAACACATTCGTCCCGCGCGTCACCATCCGCGAACAACCAGACACCCTCGATGCCTCTCCCGACTCCCTCTCCCCGATCCTACAAAAGGGAACCAAATTGACCTTCCACGTACACATGTATCCCTCGTCGACTAAACCACAAAAGGTAAACGATACCCAGCTTGCAGTCATCGAGTTTGAGCCGCCCAATCCCAGCGCCAAGAATCCCGGGCGGATTGTGTGGGCCAGTGACCCCGATGCCAAGGGCGGATTTCCTGCGTCGCTGCTGACGGCGGAAAGGGTACACGAGCTTGTGGACGTAGAGGTTCCAGGGGAAGATGGGCAGACGAGGCGGGGAACCGAGGTCCGCAACTGGGAGGCCCAGGTTGGGTATCTGGTGTATATTGTGCGGTGGATGTTTGGGGATCGATTGAAGGAGAACTTTGAGATTTGGGTACGGGATTTGAAAGGGTACGTTGAGGGGAAGTCTTCAGGAGCTTGATTATGTGGGATGAAGGATTTGATGCGTGACAACTGCGAGGTGATGCAAAGAGTGATCGACAGGTTGTCGCCGGGGTTTCCGGAATCTGGACTGGTTTGATGGGGTTCTCAGACGGCTGACATGCAGGACATGATCAAAGACTGGGGAATGTTGAATACGTGCATCAGCTGTTCCAGGGCTATCACTTGCTTGGGTATTCTGATGCTGCTCGGGTAAACGGTGATGCAGTGGAACCACGACAAAAGAAAACAAACATATTACCTGCGGAAGTTCGCGTAACAGAAATCGATGTGATGACTCCTTGATTTCCTGATGTTCGTATTTTTACGATATCAAAGACACATATACCCTCCTAGAGCTATATTTAACAATCCTGAGCGGTTAGATAGCTATCTAAATTGCTACTGCAGGCTTTTACCCCGCGTCAACCATGAGGACTGCATGAGCCAATTTCAACGAATCGCAGGTCTCTGCCAGCCAACATTCAATTGGAGATGTGGTCATAGTTCGGGGCTTGAGAAGTACAAGGCTGAACCTACCGTAGTGAGGCCGGAGTAATTCCGAAGCGGAATACCTCGTAGTTACTGGCTAGAATCAGAAGATATCGGCGATGACGTTGCGTACTGCAGTTGAAACTTGATACGAAGGCAATCGGAGGCGTTGGAGACTGTTGAGGCTTAGTGCAGGGTTAATGGGTGTTCTTAATTCTTTCTCGAGCAAGGATCATATCCTGGCTTGCGTAAAGTGTGGAGAAGGTATCCCTCAAATCTCACACTATGCAAAAGTCTCAATAGTCAGTGAATTTCCGTGGCTGAGAGCCTGAGCCTCACACACGTGGGGGTGGAGATTGGCTACAAACTTGTCGCGAGGATAGATCAGAGTTACGAAGAGGCAAGGGCCTCTTGGACGCGAAACAAAAAGTGAACTAAGATCGGGGTACGACTATCGGTTTCCGAAAAGAACTATTATTATTATTATCGTCAGATCGAATGCTCTGTCAGACCTATCCCTGTCCTGTGGCCGTTTTCCTCTGCCTGTCTGATTACCTAACTACTGTTCTTCTGTGACCCGGAAATGACAGCCGTTTGGGCGCTTCCGGGTAATTTCGTGGCGTCCGAGCGGAGACGAACCAATACCCACCGGATTGCCCTATTGGGTCAACCGGATCAATCGGGGACCCGACTAAACCTGTTTGCGTTTAGTGGCCGTATCTGGGAACTGCAGAAGCGCCGAAGACTAAAGGCAGGCAAGACCCTGTTCGCGGTATATTATTAGTTACCGTACCATTACGACACAGGGATATCATGGGTAATCTCGAAAAATGCAAAGGGCGAAATAGTCATTTCAAACATCAGTGTAGCCTGCCTCGGACTGGATATAGATGGACAGGATGGGAGTATTGTCAAGTTGAAGGTTATAGACGAATAGCACGGTGTCTTATACCTGTGCAAGAGGATTGGTCATCGTTAATTTCATCCTACTCAACAGGATTCATGTCACTGTAACCCTTTGTGATAGCCAGGGCAGTGCTACCTTGCCTAAAGCAATAAAACTACCGAATAATTATCTAACTACTTCCTGTATTCCGTATGGCTGACTCCAAGTGTAACAGTAGTAAATGAATAGCAATAGTCGTCGTATTCCTCCGAATCCTTCTCGTTCTTGTAGATTGTCCATCGTCCTCCATCTCCCAGGTTTAACATTGTCAATTAAGCTCCTTGTCGATCCCCGAACTTTTCCCACTTTTTGTGACTCGATTTTCCCTGGTCGAGACCGTTTGCTTTTTCTCTTTTTCCTTTTTCTCTCTTCACTCACCCTCATCTCGTCCTTCCTTTCCTTCCCTCGATCTTATTCCTCTTGCAGCGTCTTCCATCATGTTTTCGGTCTTTCGTCGCTTTCGTTTCTCCCTCACTCTGTCTTCTTCCGCTCCTAGTTCCCTCTGACCACCCGTCTCCGTCTGGGCCTGGATCCTACCACGAGGTTCCTCTGTCACCCGCGTCACACGCATTGCCACTCACATCATTTTTAAATACTCGTTCCCCAGACTCGTGGCCTCTATAGATCCATAGATCGTGTTCGTTCGTCTCGTCGCTTAATCCACAGTATGCGCCTTGGTTGCCCGCTATCTGCCTATTACTTACTCGCTTATTGCGTCAGACATCTATATAATTCCTGTCGCATATAGCGTCGTTCACATGAAGTAATCCAACCCATTTTCCACCATTATCACCAGTCGCCCCCGCATATCAGCTACTTATATCAGCATTTATCTTTTCACATCGTGAGCTATATACGCGACATCTTTGAAGATCAGTGACGACGCTTTATCGCATTCCTTGGCCCTTCAAGTGGCCTTTCATCATAACCGAGTGACCAGGCACCACGCGTACTGTCCAACTACTGCAGCACAATCCAGGCGAACCTACCGCAGGCGCATTAAACTTCCTATTCATCATGGCGGCACCTAATATGCCGATTCGTCTTTCGGTCCACACTGGCACCCAAGACGGCAAGCACCCTCAGCTTCCAAAAGGGTCACAGCCAACCCCTCCAATTACCCCAACTATCGGTCATGACAGCAGTTCGCCCGGAGTCGACACACCAAGTCGCTCATTATCTCCTGTGTCCTTTTCAGGAGGACAGCTGCATGACATCTTACCATCTGACCATCAGATTGTAACCGCGCCACGCAAGTTCTCCGACGAATTGGAGTTCCACTATGACTCCAAGGGCCGCAAGTTCGAGTTTGGCCGTGGCGTTTGGAGCGTCGTTTATATGGCATCCTCCCACGCATCTTCCACCCCAGCTGCACTGAGCCCTCCAAGCTCGCCCGCATCAGGAAGCCGCGTGGTGGCCGTCAAAATGCCTGGGCGACGCGATGCGCCCCCAGTGCTTGACGCCGAGGCCCTAGCGCTGACCCGTCTGAGCATGGTTCCTGGTTGCGAGGACCATATCGTGCCATTCCACGGCTACATTGCCGATTCCCATGCCATCGTCATGGGCGCCGTGCCGCTTGCACTCTCCGCCTATATTGAAGAAAAGGCCAGTGCAGCCAAGAAGCACATGTCCACCAGCACGATGTTTGACCCCGTTCAAGGCATGGCCGAATGGCACGGTCTCGCGAAAAAGCTTGTTGCGGGACTCGATTGGCTCCATAACGGCGCTCGAATGGTCCATGGTGATATCAAACCTTACAACTTTCTTTTGCGCCCCCGCCCTATTGCCAACGACTCGGATTCCGACGAATTCCCCTTTGAGCCGCTCTTCGCAGACTTTTCCTCTGCGCACCCCATCGGCGACTGCACCTCCGCAACCGAGGGCACGGCCCTGACAGCCCTGACGCCCCCATTCACCGCCCCTGAACTCCTGTCCATCACGGCGCTCAAGTCCCCTGACGTCGTCCCGACTCCGGCGTCAGACGTCTTCTCGCTCGCAGTGACTCTCCTCGCGGCTGCGACGGGAGATCTCTTACTCTACCCGGGCACAAGCAGCATGCAGCGTCTTGCCATGGCCCGTGAAGGACACCAAGTCATCGACTTTGCTCGTTCGGGCCAGAGTGGCGCTCGCATTCCGAGAAAGGGCATAGTCGAGCAGATTGTCAAGCCAGCCATTGCTAAGGATCCGTCCCAGCGCATCGATCCTGCCGACTGGTTGGGGCTGGTGGTGAACACCATGACTTGATCTTTCAGTTTTACCTCCTTCATTCTCTGATTTACTAGAATTCAATCCTCCGGCCTATTGGATGATCTGACGTTTCTCCCTCTCGTCTCTCCTTGCCTTGTCATGGCTATGGCCTGCGCCCTTCCCTTTCTTCTCTTCTTCTCTTCTTCTCTTCTTCTCTTCTTCTCTTCTTCTCTTCTTCTCTTCTTCTCTTCTTCTCTTCTTCTCTTCTTCTCTTCTTCTCTTCTTCTCTTCTTCTCTTCTTCTCTTCTTCTCTTCTTCTCTTCTTCTCTTCTTCTCTTCTTCTCTTGTCTTAAACAAAACATTATAAAGGATACCCGATTAGATTTTCATAGATTCTGGACCATTTTGACGTTGATGCGATATACTTTTCTTTCTTGCTATGGCTGTTATGTGGATACGTTGGGTTCTGGGTATACAGTGTACGAACGTGTTATCAGCCTGCTATGTGTGATAAGTATCCTTGCCGCGAGATGCACTCGTGGTTGTATCCAATAAGGCAGATTAAAAATGCCATGTTGTATTACTTTCCCTGAAAGTCTGGGAGTATACTCTATGTAGACGTACGTTACTTGCGTCAGGCCAACCCTCCTTTGCCTAGGGTATGTTGGCCGTGGACAATGTCACTCGTAGCTGTGACCTGCCTCCGCTACGCTTCGCCATGGAAACCGATATATCCCATATGGATCGGATCTTGGTTGTTATCTTGTGATGAATTAGATCACATTATTTATAGAAGGGTTGGGTTTTATATGGCCGGGATATATCTTGCGCCCATGACCTTAAAGAAATAGGGTATGTTATTCTGGAGACGACCAGTGATGATTATTCTATTGACGATGGTAATGATACAAGGTGATTATGGTTATAGTACAAGGGTAAGGTGAGTATGGTACAAAAGACAATGCTATCTAAGTTTTTTAGGTTCGACGCTATATTCACCAGCCCGGAACGAGGTCAACGTTCCCCCAAGCAGACGATTCAACTGCACCACGTTGACCTCCGTATTGTTATCTTTCTGATACTCCAGGATAATCTCCCACAGCGTGATAGAGGAGAGACAGCGGATCCGCACGTCGCTCAGGTCATAGTCTAAGTTCTCCTGGAAATTGGACACGGGGTCTAGTTGTTTGCTGGGGTCTTCTCCCGGCCGACCGTGGACGATCTTGGGAAGATTGTCAAATTTCGGCTTGGGCGTTCTGGCAGCATGCGTTGCTAGGCTGGGGATGGCGCGGACAAGGTCGTTGATGGGCCGGCTGGGAAAGAGAGAACTGAGGAGCTCGGAGACGGGCATTGCGCCGCGGCTGCCGAAAATGAGGGAGACGGCCTCGTAAATGCGGTATAGATTGGCTCTGGAGGCATCGTCGACCTGGTTGCAAAGGCGCGTGATGGGGGAATTGGCGTCGGCCTCGAAGTAGATCATGGTCATGTCGGTTTCTCTCGGGTAGAGTTCCTCGGGCTGGATGTGGAGGGGCTCAAACGGGCGCCGGTCCCAGAGGAGGACTGCGTCATCGAAGGTGCCGGTGGAGAGCGCGCTGCGGGCGTCGTCGATCATGTTCGGGACGTGGTGGAGGACCTCGAAGTGGACCTCGGAGCTTAGCTTGGCGATGTCGGCTTTGAGGGAACCTATCTGGTCCAGGATCGGCTGGAGATCCTGCAAGTCGGCGGTGGGATCCGCAGCCTTACGCGACAGAGATCGATTGAGCTCGTCTATCTTGATCTGTTTGTCCGCCAGCTCTTTGCGAAGGAATGAGTTCCGATTGTCGTATCTCAATTGGATTAATGCCCTCTGTCTCTTTTTCTTCAAGGCGGTATCACTGGGAGATTCCTCCGCAGTCTTGATCGTTTTCAAGATCCTGTCGTGCATATCGGTTTTCATGCGAGGGACATAGGGATAAGGAGACTGCCCCGGCTCAGGAGCCTCTGGAGCCAAGGGAACCGGCGGGACTTGTCGTCCTGCAGGAACTATAACATTGTGTTGCGCGCTCCTTTCAGCGACCCGTGCCGCGTTGGCAGCTGCTAGGTCCCATCCCTTGGCCATAGTCCAGCTGCTTTGATCCTGGGTCGATGCGACTTCAAAGGCGCGTAAAGCGACATTTTCCGTGACCAAAGCCGGACGGCTACGATGGGACACTGATCGTGGAAGGATCGTCTGCGCCTCGAACAAAGGCAGTGTGGCAATAACACGGACACTCCCGTATGTATGGAGACCGGACTGCCGCATACAGGCCTCCATGAGGGCTGACCATGATCGCGCCGGCGTGTAGTGATCTAGTTTGGAAGCGTTCGGAGGCACATTGGCCAAAACTAGTAGCGCATCGTTTTTAGCCAACGCGCCCGAAGCATCGCAGTTGGAGAACCCCTGTTCCGGTAGATGTTCGGCGAGAAAGCCGTGCCAATCCTCATCGAGATCGTTTATATCTTGAGAAACTAGACTGTAGCAGGGTTTGCTTTCGGCAAGCGTCTTGAGCATCGGTCCGAAGACTTTGATATTGGGTTCCACAAGTACATGGCGTCGAGGGCGCAGAAAATCATTCACTTTGGACGACCATAATCCAGCACCGGGCCTGAGATCAAGGACATCCACTGGCGGTTTTCGAAGGAGATACGGCCCGAGGCGTTGAAGGATGTCATCTGCGACAAGGCGTATCAGCATCGTTCACGGAGGATTTTTATTATCATCCCACATCACTGACCACATAAACTCTCGCTGACAATCTCCGGTTTCTGTAGCCTCTTCCTCTTCAGCGGGTTGGGGATTTGCTTCTGCAGAAGTCCTGTTATTGGAAATCGAGCGAGTGGCGCCCATCGGTTCGGCTTCATCTTGCTGATGCTGATGCGCGCTCAATGCGACTGGATAAAACTTAGTCAGTCAGATATATCACAGTAAAAATAATCAAACCCGCACAGCAGCTCCATGCTGATTTGTGGGTAGTCTCCCAGTCTGAAAAAGATTATTTAAAAGTATGCAAAAAGACGTCGGAGAAGTGATAGCGGAGGAGGGGAGCTTTGAACTTGAAGCTCCGCCGGCGGGATCAAAAGTAGTCAAGTTCCCCCATAACATCAAGGACCCCTCTTCATCTGAACACCTTCATGCGTATCGCATATCATTCCATCTCTGACTCTGATACTGCACTTTTCCAAAGTTGTGATGACCAACCCCGTACCTACCGCCTGAGAGTCCATGCTACCAAGGTCTGGCTGCCTAAATGAGGCCTCCCCCACCATAACATCAGCTGGTCGTTGCACCAGAACTGAATCATATCACGCTTGACCCGACCGTTTCCGTTTCTGAAATTACCTAGACTGGAACCAGCAGGCACCAAATCCCCAGAAGTCTGACCACGTAAACGTCTACTTGCTCAGGCTCATCATGGCTTCGCATGCACCCACACCCAGCATGGGAGCGTCACCACCTCAGAGCGTGGAGAAGATCACACGGATTGCGCAAGACTACGAGTACAACCCCCTTATACCGCTACGAAACTGGTTGAGGACCGCGTCCACACTCCTCAGAGAGGTAGGATACCCAGTAACCTTCTCAGCTTTACGCTAACTTTCTGCTCCATCCTAGGCTCGAATATACGAACGGGAAGGCCATGACGAGCAAACATATCTACTGTTATTTCGACATGCGCAACTAGTACTTGTGAACCTAGCAAAGCACCCCGATGCTAAGGATGAAAAGTACAGAAAGGCTCTCATGGAGGCCGAGAAGGAGGTCCGGATCAATCTCGGGAAACTAGAGGCGCTGAAACCCCGGATCAATAAACGATATGAGCGTTACGCCCAGTTGATGCGCGAACGTCAAGTTCGGACTTCGCATCAGGAAACAACCTCGTCGAAGCAGGTGCAACCATACGACCCCGCGTTGGCGGGAGTAGTCGAACCTTTGGAGGCAGGGAAGAACAGAGATTTGGCAGTGCAGCTTGCGCGGACGGAGATTAGCCGGAGGGCGACCGTCAGGAAAGCCTTGCGTCAGGCTGATGTGCCACTAGAAGAGGAGCAAAGCCGGCGTACGGCGGGTGTCTGGAACAATTGGGAAGTTGCTGTGGACAAAAATGGACGCGGGATGGACAATGACCTGAGCCGCCGGATTCAAGATGTGAGACTCAACATCGACCAGCAAACTCATGCGAACGCTCGTCCGCAGCAATCGAAACCCGCAGAGCGGTCCAGTAGCACCTACAAGTATCCTTCCGTCCCTCGGACAAAACCGCTGGAGCCTTTGCCATCTGCGTCGACAAACGTGTCCCGTGATGGAAACAGCTTGCGCTTGGAAGCTCCATTGCCACCGCCAAAGGAGCGATTTGAATCAAGTTATCTGACATTTACTGACGGAGCGTCCCCACCACCACTGCCCGACAAGGTCTCGTCGACCCCAGCTCCGGCTGTTCCAGAGAAGGGACAGCCGGTGGCAGATGGCGGAAACTCACGTCCAGACCTGAACCCCTCCAGCTTCACATTCAAGCCGTCGGCATATCTAGAGAACGGGACACCGTTGCGCACCATGTGGCTACCTCCCGATCTACGAACGCATTTCTTGGCCATAGCGGCTCCCAACACGCGACGCAACCTAGAGACGTGCGGCATCCTGTGCGGAACTTTGATTTCGAACGCACTATTTGTCTCCAGGCTGCTTATTCCAGAACAGACGGCGACGTCAGACACATGTGAAACCGTAAACGAGTCTGCGATCTTTGACTACTGCGATTCCGAGGATTTGATGGTGTTAGGCTGGATTCATACGCACCCCACACAGACTTGTTTTATGAGTTCGAGGGACCTCCACACGCATTGTGGATACCAAGTGATGCTACCTGAGAGCATCGCCATCGTTTGTGCGCCGAGTAAATCCCCTGACTGGGGTGTGTTCCGACTCACTGATCCCCCGGGGCTTAAGACGGTCCTGAACTGCACGCAGAGTGGGCTATTCCATCCCCATGCGGAAGCTAATATTTACACCGATGCGCTACGACCCGGGCACGTCTATGAAGCCAAAGGGTTGGAATTCGAGACTGTGGATCTTCGTCCAAAGGAAGCCCGGGGTTGAAGTTTGATGTGCGATGTACTATGCATGATATGGCTTGCGATTATGATACCATCTCCAGTGATTTGCTGTTTGTTCTCCGCTTTAGAATCATTGCTATGTTCAGCATACATTGCATATCCTACAACAAGATGTCACTGCTTGCTCCTACCATGACATCCCGACTGGCAGTCAATTAATTGAACAATTGTGCAACAGGTCGAGACTACCTACTATGCCATCTCATTACAAGCCCCAATTACCACCATGAACTTTAGTCAAGTATGTATGCATGCTCTCTCATTCCCTGTATACAATATCGTACATTACATACATCTTTCATCCAAGCTGGCCGGTGGTTTCGACTCATCCGCTCATTCCTGCAAAATCCTGCTTCGAGATCGGGACCGAGAAGGAGCGCGGGAGCGCGATCGAGAGCGACGCCGCGCGCCAGAACCTGCGCTATACTGACGCTTTCGCTCGGGGGTGGGCTTTCGCCGAAGTCGCGAGCCCCTACGGTTCCCCGGAACAGTAGTGGTTTGCTCTGTGGCTCGTCTGTCTGACGGACCAGCGGTCATATTGATACTTCTTGTTATTGGCCCGATGGATCGTTCAAACGTATGTTGCTGAGCGCGAGTGACGGTTATAGTTCCTCGCAATAAAGGTCTTGATATGCTATGGATGAGTGCTTGCTGTGCGCTTTGACATTGCGAGATGCGCGTCAATATATAGCGGCTGTTGCTTGGGGCGAAAGTCATTATGGCGTCGTTTGCCTCATTTCGGAGGAACAGTCCGGCTGGTCTGTTAGCACTTTATCTGTAGCTGAACCATGGCTTCCTTGATGGCCCCGGGAATATAGAAATGGGGAGAAGAGACCAGGGGCAAGTGGGTGGTGGCTATAGATCGGTCACTGCAGCTGTGAGATAACCCTTCATGTCTAGTCGGTTAGTTGGACTGAACAATCTGTGTGTTTATAGCATTCAACAATGATCATGAGCAAATTCAGTTGCATTTTTGTATATTGTTAGGTCTGTCAACCGGTTTTCTATTGAGGCTGGCCGTAAACTTGGTGATCATGCCACCACTTGCCAACATTGCTTGTTTGTCATTTCTTGGATGTTTGTTTTGTCCTCAACTGATAGTGAAAAGCATCTGAATTAAATCCAGCAATGTCTGAGGAAGATAGCAGCATATCTCAGATGCTTATCATTTCTCCAGGCAGATGGAAGCGATAAGAATTGGGATCAACAGCTGCGTCGTCGTCGTCGTCGTCGTCGTCGTCGTCTCCCCACACTACTATTATTAAAGCCATCATCATAATCATCATCACCATCTCCACTTGAGCTGTCTCACTTTTGCCTGTCATTCTGTTGTCCTCTCTTGATTTCTTCTCCATAGCTTTCTCCATCTCAACTCTTCTCCATTTGTCTATTCCTTTAGATACCCTCACCTGCTGAATCTCTTCCATCGCCGTCCGCATGTCGTCCCTCTCGCAGGGAGATTCGCCCTCATCGACTGCCACCCCATCCTCGTCCTCATCTAGCTCGACATCAGGATCTCGCACTCCGAAAGCGAATAATCCCTTCAATCAATCGGCCGCATCCTACTTCTCCTACCCCGTCACACACGTCGTCTCAGGACTCTACCGCCGCTTAACAGAACCCAACATCTCCAAAGCATCGCGCAAAGACAGCAACAGTCTCAATAGGAACATGAGCGCCAGAAACAACCACGACCCATCCACAACGTCCCCAGATATCTTCGTCCCTATCCGCACCGCATCACCCTTCCAACCACCGCCCCTCACCCCGCTAACCCTCACCCCCGGCCCTGGTATCCCCCAACAACAACTCCTCACCCGTGCCCTCGCAGAGGAAATCCGCCTACTGGTCCCAGCCCGCCTCCAGCTCGTCGACACCTGGCGCCTAGCCTACAGCCTCGACCGCGACGGCGCCTCCCTCTCAACGCTTTACGAACACTGCCGCGATTTCTCGCACCGCAGCCCGCGGGCGGGCTACGTGCTCATCGTCCGCGACTCCTCCCCCGCCGGTGCCGTCTTCGGCGCCTACATGACCGACCCCCCACACCCAGACTCGCACTACTTCGGCACAGGCGAGTGCTTCCTCTGGCGCGCGAGCGTCCTGCCCTCGCCGGCGAACCTGCTGAATATCAACGGCTCGCAGTCCGAGGAAATGCTCGAGCGCGCGGGCCTGCCCTTGCCCCCCAGTGCGGACACAACGCATGCGGGCCGCTCGACAACTCTACGCGGTGACTCGCGAGGTCACGGCGATGGCCGCCTCGCGGCGCCGCGGGCCAATGGCGGGGCCGGGGCCGGGGCGGCGAGTGGTGCCAGCACGCCGGAGAGAATCCGGTTCAAGGCTTTCCCCTATAGCGGCGTGAATGACTACATGATGTTCTGCGAGACCGGCTTCCTTAGCTTGGGTGGAGGGTGAGTTCTTCTCCTCAAACGTACCTAGTGCGTCACTGGTAGACGACAGTCGGCAGCTAATGTGCAACAGAGACGGTCATTACGGCCTATGGGTAGACTCGAGCTTGGAGAAAGGCGTCAGTGCCTCGTGTCAAACGTTCGGGAACGAGCCTTTGTCCGACGAAGGAGTCAAGTTCGACGTCCTCGGTGTGGAGGTGTGGTATGTCGGGGCGTGAGTTCACGGGTCCCGGATCTCTCTTACGCTTTTTCTTCCGTATAATACCCTGCTGCGATGCGTGCTGGCTCTCCATCGTGCCATTGTCCTGATTGCATTTCTTCCATCTTGGCATCTTAATTCAAAAGTCAAAGAGGAAGAATACGACGTCTAGTAAGATAGCCGAGCGTGATATCCACGCATGTGGCTGTAGCATGTCCATCGATTGCAGTCATATTGTTCCTAGCTACCTAAGCTAACTATAATAAAGATAGGTCATGCTAACATGTGATGTCAAGCATGAACCGCCCATTAACCTTCCTTCGCGTACTCCATTGTTGTACCAGCATTACGGTGATTGACCATTGGTCTTTTAAATTGAGGAATAGGAAATACGGGTGAATAAAACCTGGACAAAAGATAGAATGTAAATTGGAAAGACAACAGGAGGGGGTATGCGATCAATAACACATTAAAGAAATCATAAAATGACAGATAAGAAAGTTCGTCAGCCTGGAGAGCCCAAGAGTGACATCGTGAAACATCTAATAGGGAGAATTGACAATATCGTCTCTTCCCAATCGACTGCCCCATCGGGTACTACGACGGCTCGGCGTCACCGGAGGTCCTGCAATGCTTTCGCGAGTAGGTTTCTGGAAAGTCCTCTTCGCGACCATGTTGACTTCATTCGGCAGCGCAACAATGACATTCTTGTCTGAGCCAAACCGGAAGTTATCCGCCATGACATCTTCTGCATATCGCTTGATGGTGTAGGGGTCTTTCCGGCCGGCAATGACCTTCTTCAAGCTCCAAGTGACGATGAAAGGACCAGTGGCGGTGACAATGGATGTCTCCTGAGACTCAACACCGGTGTTGAACCGCGCCGGAGTGAAAGAGATGGGCTTCTTAGTCTCATGCTGGAACTGCGCGACGTGCGCAGGAGTGAGACCCAAACGGCGAGGCTGTGGTTTCGAGTCCTTGGCGAAGGAGCGCTCGAAGCCAAGCTTGCCTTCGTTCTTGCCTTCTTTCTGGAGCGAGTCGATGAGCAACAGGTAGGTTCGGCAGGTAGCCAAGACCCAGCGGCCATCGGCAGACACGTCCAGTCCGATGATGGGCTCTCCCAAGGCAGGTATATGCGTCTTGGCATTGATACCCAAGCGGTCGAACATGCGAATATCGCCCTTATTGGAGGCAACAGCAATGTATCCCTTCTCAGTTGTGGCCACTGCGGAGAAATCGTTCTTGCTCGCGTACTGTTTCAGGTCCGCATCTACCAGTTTGGCTCCTGCCAATCGAGGGTCAATGCGGTAGAGTGCGTTCTGCGAGACACCGATGAAAGGCTGAGCGGAGGTCATCTGGGCAAATTTCTGCAAGACGTTAGTTAGATCTATGGCGTCAAACGAAGGCGAGAATGTAAACTTACGTTTTCTGGTGCGAATGTGGTCACCGGGATATCGTCGTGCACCTTCCACTCATCAACGACCTTGCCGTACTCGAGATCCATACGATACAGCGAGTGAGGGTCATCGCCATTCTGGAGAATCATGTTGCGGTCCTCAGCATGCAACATGACCTTCTTCGGGCTGAAAAGCTTTCCCTTAGGCGTCTCGACCTTAGAAATATTGGTCGAAAACTCCAGGTTGTTATCTGGTGTATGCCTGAAAACCCCAATCTTAGATCCACGGACAACGAATGATCGATCGTGCTTGTAGCCAACTGCGAGTTGAGAATTGACATTGCCATCATCGTCACGCGTAATGACATCCTCCTGCTCTTCGTCTGAATCGTAGTGCTCGCTGCGTTGGCCCTCGTCCTGCTCTTCCTCCTCTTCATCCTCGGCCTCGGCCTCGGCCTCATCCTGTTCTTCGGTCTCGGGGTCCTCCATTGTAAGATCCTGGAAAGCGTCCAGCACGTACTCGCGATCATTCTCCTTGACCTTGGTCCATTTCATTTCGTTCAGCTGTTCCCAAAGGGCCTGCATTAGGCCCTCTTGAAACCTCTCTTCTGTGGCCTGATCCTTGAACCGGAGTAGCCATGAGTAAGCGGATCCGTCTTCACCGTAATGATTGAAGATGAATGACAGGTATTCAAAATTGAAAACTGGATTGATGTCGGCAACAACCGCTTGACCAAGCCATTCCTTATCCTCCCCACTGATCTGCAACCAATACTGCCAGGTGCCCACTTCAGACACAGTGGCAACCACATCGGGATCCTGAAGAATGAAAGTCCCGCTGGGGAAGTCGAAAAGGTGCAATTCCGCCTTTTCCTTTGCGAGAATCTCCTTAGCCTCTGGCTGCGCCGCAGAGGGCGGCGCCACTGTACGTTCCTCCCCTTCCCCGACTGGCTTTATGAGGCCCTTTGACCGCGAATACTCGACGTCACGAGCCATGGCAGCGGCGGACTCTCCGGCAGAAGCTACAGAGTGTGCGCGTGATTTGACTGGCGAGGAGATTGGACTGGCGGCAGGGATGGTTTTCTCTTCCTTAAAGGAGAATTCCTGAAGCTCTTGCTCCGTTGCTCGCTGAGCGCTCTTCCTGTATTTCCTCTCGTACTGACACTGCCACGCTGCTAACTCAAAGGTGGAGACTTTGTCCGCTGGCACAGATGGGTCGCAGACAAACTCGAAAAGATCACCGGCGTCGCCACTCAAATCGTTCCAAGCTAGTATTTTCGAACCCCCTTCGCGGGCTTCAACACGGAAGTGCAAGCCTTGGTCAAGCAGGAATACCTTTTCGTCCTTGTCTAGACTGTCGCTGGCGCCTTGTTCATCCTCGTCATCGGCAAGCTCTTCCTCACCTTCCTCGTAGGCGCGCTGAATGACGAGTTGATACTGAAACTCCTGACCGGTGCGTCGAATAGTAGCCGCGGCGTCCTTGAAGATGAGCTCCGAGTAACCCTTTGGAGAAAGAGGGCGGACCAAATACAGCTGGCCTTGAGGGATCTCGATAATGGATTCTTTAGAGGTGTCTCCAAATAGGAACTTGCTCACTGTGATGTCACCGAATTAGTTAGCTGAATGTCACGATGCACAAGAAATGATCCTAAAATGGATATGAGGTAAAGTAAGGAGGGGTAGATGGCGGGGTAGAGTGAACGAGATGGTAGATGTTGAAAACAAGAGACAGATCTGAGAGTACCTACCATTACGGAGCATGAACATAGCTGGAGAGTTCAGGAGGCTGCTACCTCGAAAGGTGCAGCTGATTATTCCTTACTAGTACGTAGTGCTTAGAGGCACGCAGTCGGCAAGGAAATTAATGTCAGGGGGGCAAAACACAAGGAAAGAACGGAATCTGCGAAAAAGGAAAAAGAGTATTTTAATAGAAGAGATCCAACATCAACAGAGAATAATGATGAATCTTCAGCAACAGATCTCTTTTCCTAAGAACTAATCCTGTTGAACGACTGGCTCTTGTGATGCTCGTCCTTGCAAGAGGAAAATCACCACATGTTTTCTTTCTGTTGATCTGCCGTCATCGATCGGCTTCTGTGGCAACCGGTGTGGCGTTATATTGTGGCTGTGCTGTCAAGTGGCCGATGAGACTAGCTGTATATGGAGTATGGTAGCATAACTATTTGAATAAGAATTATATCTACAATTAACAGCCATTATTGTTTTGGATAGGTGGATCGTTCATACGTTAGTGGTGTACATAGCGTAATAGCACAGACTATATACAGAGTTAACTTGCCTGTACAAAAACACAGGTTACTCTTTGCCCGCTTCGCCTGCTTCTTCCGCAGCATCTTCTCCATCTGGCCCGGCTTCCACAGCTTCGACACTCTCCCGTGGTGTCTGATCTTCAGACTCATGGTCCGCTGATTTCAATTTGCCCCCCTTCCTTTGAGGAATTACTTGAATAAATGCTTTCCCCCAGTCACCCAGCTCCAGCCACCGAATCATAATCTCCACGACATGGTTCGTTGCCAGTACCTGACGGTGAGCCATCTGAATATACTCTCCGATGGGTAGCTTGGCGGTCTTGATGCCCTTGGCTACCGCGGATTTATAGCAGATGCCCTTGTGGCGGTTCTTGTCCACCAAACCTCCAATGATATATGTGCTGTAGGGCTTCAATTCCGTCAAGATATTGGGACTGTCGCTGCTGAGGTACACAATCTCTCCATCCTCAGGCTTCGCGTCCGCCTTGTCAGCGAAAACACCTGCCAGTTGGCCGCCTTTAGGTCCTTGCATCCACTCCTTTGCCATCTCGGCAGCTTCGGCAAAGTCCTCCTGCAGAAACCGAACGCCTTTCCAGTTCTCGTGTGTCTTTCCCAGCACGGTATCGAACCGCTCCTTGAGCAACTTGTTGAATGATGAAACGGCCAGGTGCGAGCGGAAGGGGGCCCTACTGTTATCGGAGTAGGATCGCGTAATTTGCGCTCCGAGGGATACTCGTTCCTTGTCTAGCATTAAATCATCGTAACTGCAGTCGAGCACGAGTGTGACCGGGAGCAGAGTTGACCGTTGAAATTTCTTTTGTGTAGGCTCGAATGTCTTTCGGGTTTCTTCTGTAGCCTCTGCGCCCTCTTGTTTCGCCTGTTCTAAAGCGGCTCGTCTCCGTTCCCTTTTTGCGACCAGCTTCTCTTTGCGTTTCACTTTGCGCTGTTCCCTCATTGCTTCCCAGTGCTCTTTTCGTTTGAGTTTCTTCAATTGATTCTTGGACAATGTGGGCGGTGCCTCCTTTCCGGGTGCTTCTTGTCCCTCCTCATCACCAGCTTGCTCTGCATCGTTCTCATTCCCATTATTTGACGGCGAGGCATAGTTGTCGGCACCCGCACTCTCAGCGTCATCGTCGCGGACGGCTCCAACAGCGCCGGTCATGACGGGCTCTGATTCCTCCTGCGCTTCTTCGTGGTTTAATTTGGGGTATTTTCTAGGCCGCTCGTCATCCTCCATCTTCGATCAATCAAGGAAAGACGGAATACCGGTGATCGAAGCTCTGTCGTATTGAAACATAAAATAATCTATTTGCGGACCAATGTACTACGGAGTACACTTGAAGGGAAACCCAAAATCGGGAAAAACCCTCCCGCAACCAATCACAGCACCCGCAGCCCTCATTACTCAATCCCGATCGCCCTCACGTGACCCCCACTCCAACTTCATCCTCCAGCATCTCCGGCCAATCCTACATACGCCTGTTCCAAAGATCTCCAATCCCAGTCGTCACAATGCCTCAGGATATGCCCCCATCGGGGGGCTATGCGCCTGTCCAGTACAAGGCAAGTTCCCAATTGCGGGATTCCCCAACGCAGTCACCGATCGAACTAACCCAAACCACAGCGTAACCTCCCTGCCCGCGGCTTCCGACCCATCTACTACCTCGTTGGAATGCACCTCTTCATGGCCTACGGCTACTACAAGCTCTTCTACGGTATCCGCGAACAGCACGAGCTCGCCCGCGAGAAGATCTGGTCCCGCCTGCACCTGGTCCCGCTGCTCCAGGCTGAGGAAGACCGTGACCAGGTCCGCAGACACTTCGCCGACAAGGCTCGTGAGAAGGAGCTCCTGGGTACGGAGAGCAAGGTCTATAACTCCGATCGGTATGTGGAACCCATGGGATTGAAAGTGGTGTGGTACAGTTGGCTGACCTTGTTTACTCCTGCGTCTGCTTCAGCTTCGTTCGTCCTACTTTCGTCTATACCCCTTCCAAGGTCACTCAATAAATGGTACGATATTTGTTACGAGCTGTGGTGCCAGACTTAATCGTCTCTCTACTGCGCCAGATGTCATGATTCTGGTGCCATTATACGATTCCGAGGGCATTGAATGGTGCATCAGATGCCGCTTGTCATAGCGGTATTTCACGGGAGTCAGAGATGTCTAGGGAGTCTTCAAAGAAAATAATGTGCCCTGTAGATATATTGCCTCTGGGGCGTTTGCCTAGTTTTGCAATGCATTTCGTTTCTTTTCGCCTTTACACGCATGCATTTGCGTCGAGTCTAACAGATTGCTATGTGAAACTTCCAAGTCGAATAGAAAGCGATCTATTTAGCTCTATCCTTTTGATGACATTGAAAGGGTAATCATAGGAGAAAAATAAGTACAAGCAGGTATTACGAATCGAGCCTCCCATCCTCTAGTACTGTACAGGACGAGTAGTTCCGAACATGAAGGAAGAGAGCCAGTCGTTGGCGGACGGCTCTAACCAAACATGTCGGCAACACCACCCAAATCAGGCCCGTCATTGATGTCAACTTTGCTGATTTGTTGGCCTTCCATCTCGTTGCTCATGTATCTCTCTTGCAAGGCACTGCGTGCCTTGCGGCGTTCTTCCCGGGAGCCCAAGATCTTGCCTTGCTCGGCAATACTCACGCCCCTGAGGCCTTCAAGAAGGTCTAGCACGAGCGCACGTTGCTGCCGTGCTGCCGTGGATCGTAGAAGCGCGGCTTCCGTACTTGCCACCCGTTGTTCATCCATTCCAGGAAGGCTGAGGATCACCGAGCGTGGTGTTGGGCTACTCGAGCCATAGAGAACCCAAATTGACGCGATCAGCTGGGCTAAGTCTTTCTGCATGTCAACAAAGTAAGGCTCATGCACAGATGTAATGCAGGCCTTGAGAACTTCCGAGGAAATGAACTCGCGGATGGTGACTACAGTTGGGCTGTGATTTGGAGGCGCGAAGTCCTGCAAGATCGACCGAATAACACGAGTGATGATGCTACAGCATCTCGTATCCCGCATGCGAAGAGCATGTGTACAGAAGAGCATGACGGGTTCGAATACTTCCGGCGAAGAAAGAACAAAGTGCCGAATCGAGTCGGAAAGTGCTGGAGGTGGTTGCGGCGCGCTAGGCTCAGCGGGCTCGTCGTCCGGATCTACAATGGATGTTAGTCTTATGTCCTGCAACAAATCGTCATGATGTCAAATCACGCACCACCTCTCTGCGGATCCAAAAGACTTGCTACCATGAGCACCGCAGAATAAGTCAACTGGCGGAGGATACTTTCTGACTTCATTTCGTCAGTCAAATCCCCGTCCGCAAGTCCCTCTTTGCGTTGCTCGATAAGGTCCCATTCCGCTGTGACTTTCCTGTCAATGTTGGTGAAGAGCGTTGCCAACATAGGAGGAAGGAACTGTGCTCGGAAACGGACAGGGCAATCATCGATCAAGCACCTGGAAATATTGAGGAGAACAGAGAATTGGTGAGAGGATAAATGTGGTGAGTCCTTAAAGAGAGCTTGCGACAGAGGTCCTGGAAGTTCTGCAAACCCATAGAAATGCTCTCTCAGTCTGCTCATGCTGAACAGCATTGAGTAGCAGGATTCTCGGACAGCCCGAACCTTACCTCGAACGGAGGAAGCGAACCCTTCGAGCGAAGACCGCGACGCAGTGATCTTCGCATAGAACTCGTCGCGGCTGCCAGTAGATATGCCTGCCTGCCAGAACCGGTCGGTCAGGATACGTTCGACGACCCCTCGCATATCATCAGGCAGGCCACCCCAGTTCGCCGGATTGTGGAAGGCATGAGCATTACTGCAGAATATATGTCAGCTAAGCACCTCTAACGGCATGGTGTACTTGCCTGACAAGCTGTAACAATACCGGCAAGATAATGGGAACGATGTCGTGCCAGATATTGCACGCAAGATCATAAGCAAGATCGGTCTTCTTCAATTTCTCCGTAGAGACTGCGAGCATGGTCTTAGTTCCCCTCAGAGGTAGTTGCTGGAGTGCGAATTAGTGTCAAAGTTAGGTCCCGAACGTGGGCGTAGACTCAGTACCTGAAACTTCCTCGTCATAGTTTCCTGAATCTGCTTCCCCTCATTATCCAGCGGGACCGCGGACCAGTCTTCCAGCTTCTGCGCTTGGTTCTTTTGCATATAGGGCCCAACATTTTGCAGCCCAAGCATGTCACAGAAGCCTTCGAATGAGGAGCTTGTGCTCCGAAATTCTTCTTCTTGCCAGGCTTGCCTGATAGGTTCCAGAAAGGACTTCAGCCGGGTTTCACGCAGATATGGATCGACGTTGTTGGCACGTTGCCTAACTAGTTAGTCCAGAGCTACAGGGACAGAAAGAGGATTGGAGGTGTCCATACATGATAATTAGGAGGATTGAGGTATGCTCCATGTGGAGTTTGTCGTCCACCCGGTTGGCCATGGTGATTTCCTTGATTTTCGGCTCAAGCAGATCGTAGAACGTCTTCCAGTTTCTTGTTAGGAAATATGTATCCCAAAGGCGCTGAAATACAACTCACAGAGAAATAGTCAGCATAGCGCATAGCCAGGCGTCGGAGTTCATGGCTGGCCAGCCCATGTAGTTCCTTCACAGCTTCCGAGTAAGCCGGGTATTCAACCAAGTCAGGGAGACGAGTCATGAGAATATGCTCAAGGACTTTAAGTGAAAAGCTGGGATTCTTGTCAAGAGCCCTGGATGAGATGTCAACGATAAGCTTGATGATGCGCTGTTTCAAAATAGGGTCCTTCAATAAGAGTTAGTCAAGTAGCCAAGGATGAAGCACAAGATAGAACGCGAACCTCGTAGTTCCTCTGCATCAGACTCAAAGCCCATGTCTCAAGCGCGCTTTCCAAGTCTATTCGTTTCTGCTCCTGTGCTTTGTGTTAGAACCGCAAAAGTGCCGACATTGCAAGTAACATACGTCCTGTTGGGGCATTTTGCCATGAGCTGAAACCCATTTGTTATAACCCTTGAGTGTAGCTTCCACAACAGCGAATTGAGTGTCGGCGCGCATCAACGAAAGAGAGTTCTTGGAGAACGTTTTCACTGATGCCTAGGTTAGCATAAGCACTCACCGGCAGAAACCGCCACAACTCACCATCAAATGGCTCAACCCCATTGTAGAGATTGTCCAAGTTTGCATCAACGCCCGCGAGAATATGTGGAATAGCATCTTGTGGTCTTTTCTGGACAATAGTCTCGATGATGGACGAGCAATATCTCCTGTAGTTTCCAACGAAAGCGTGCCGTTCTGGCACTGTATCAATGTCTTCATTCAGAAAGACTACTGTAGGATTATCAGAGTCCGCTGGTAGTGATTCCCAGCGGATCAGTCGCTCAGTACATATGCTAAGCAAAGGGGGAATCAATCCAGTTACCAGATCGGTGTTCCCGATCCTCTCGGAGGCAAGTAGTTTGCACCATACGTGAAGGACAGGTATCGACACGGTCAAGCTGTGGTTCTGAATGACACTGATTAGGAGATGGAAAAAGAAAGTGAGGTTCATGCCATGTGCGGTCTCAAGAGAGAAGCCCTTCTCCTCAAGGAACCCCGCAAGGTACGAGAGCATCTACCGCGCAGATTAGCACGAGATCATGGCAGCCATCTGGGTCGAGAAGCTCCTACCTCGGATAGTTTTTTCGAAATCGTGTACCTAGTATCATCGATGTCGTCGGGTCCAACGATGGACCACTCGTACAATTTCTGTAGGAGAGTCAAGTACTCTGTTTCGTACATCAAGTGCACGAGAGGCTGGAAGTCTTCGATTTCGAAATTCGACCTGCTATAAAGAGCATGCAGTGCTTCGACTGCAGCCTGGATGAATAGTTCAGCATTGCTCGTGTAGTGCTGCTGGGAAAGGTCGAGGTGCCTTACCAACAACACCTGCTCATCGCTGCAGGTAAGCGACCTTGCGATACTCGAGACACAATTTGCGGATATGATGGCCTTGGGAATTGCCCAGACTAAGATGGACTTCAATGTTGCAAGAGCTTTGAGCGCTGCGTCTCTGGCCTGTGTGGAAGCTTGCAGGTTCTCAACACAGTAGATAAGGAACTCGCATGTCCTTGCGAGCCAGCCCTCGATCCCACACCGAAGCTCAACATGGTGCTCGCGCTTTGGATAGATCTCCTCAAAGACTGACAGTGGTGTGCAGATCTCCACTAATGCTCTGTTGAGATCTGTGCCTCGCAAGGATGAGACGGTGTCTTCGCGGTAGAAGATGTCTTCTGACAATGTCTCCAGAATAGACAGGACAAGTTCTTTGTGTACAAGACTGGCTCCCCAAAACTGCACAAGAATCTCGTCCATTGCCAACCAGTCTAGGCCCCAGCTTCTCTTGGCAATCTCTGCCCATAACTGCGGGATCTTGTTGCGGTAATAGGCCGGATCCTCTGGCCGGATTGACTCAGCAAGCTTGAGAACAAAGTCTCTGAGGATAGCCACCTGATCTGCGGAGGTGAAAGAAGTGTGACGCAGTACATGATCCAAGAGCGTTAAGCCAAAATAGCGGACCAAGGAAGCGTTTTCTACCCGTGAAGCCAGAAGGAACCCATTACGAGCAGCTAGCTTGCTTTCCTTTTGAGACTCCACAAAGGTCAGGGCTTGCCTGCGGAGCTCATTTGTCGACGAAGGGCTGTGGATGAGCTCCAGTGCCCGAACGAGGTCAGCCATGCCGCCTTCTGAGAGCTCATCTTGGGCGGCCATTCCGTCGACCAGTGCAGAGACCTATGGTGGTCACTATATAACGATGGGCTCAGAAAAGGAAGGAAGGTCTCAGTGCCCCACTGGATTCTTTAAGCGCTCACTTCCAATTCAGGCTGCACTAACAATTCCTGCATCATTCACGCTTTCTGCGCAGTCTTCTCACTCTTTAGAATTGTTCCCGGAAAAAGAACAATAAACGAGTGGTTTTGATGTTGTTTGTATGGCGGGCAGAATGACCACGGCGATTCACCGATTCTGCCCTCCGCAGATGCCTGCCTAAAGACGAGAGAGATCTGCGTCTGTCTTTGTTTCTCTTCTTTCCCCAAGATCACGTGAGGAACGTATTTACCCTCACTCCTTGACGGTAACTCGAGGTCTTATCGTTTAACTTCGTATACCTTATATTGTGCTTGAGACGGGAGGGAGTTGTTGGATGGATTTCTTGGGGAAAGCGGGAAGACCCAAATTGCCAAAGAAAGCTTCAGAAAAATTCCACGCGCTCCCGCTCCAATCACCACACCGACTCGGAGGGGACCAGCTTCACAATCACACCGCTTACAAGAGACAGGTTGCTACCTTACAATATACAATTGACCCATCAGAAGCGTGTACTCAATACTATCATGATGCTTCGATGGCAGTGATACGGTGGTTGATAATGCAGCATACTGGGCTGTAACACGGAAATTCGTAGGACAATCTACCTAGCGTACTATGGCCATTTGACTTGAGTGTGGTGACCTACAACTAAGGAATAAAGAATGAAGCTGGATACACTTCCTGAATAGGCAGTTTAAATAATGTACAGGTGTACTAATGAGATAAGAATTTATGGAGTGGTAGAAAAGTAAGGGCTGACTAACGAGGCACAACCCCAGCAAACAAATACTTTCATGCTATACCTAGCTTGCCTTTGAAAGCAGATTATCTATAGATGAGATGTAAGTCAGTCTAGTGATTGAAAGGTCAAGGCGAATAAGCTTGATAGCCGCTGAGTATGCTGACACGTTGCCTGACGGCTCGACTATATAGCTTCCTACTCAATAGACAGGCTATTTTCATGATGTTTCAGGACGCGAATGCCCCGTGTAGCCCTTGGGAAGTGATATGTAACCAATCTCATATAGAAATTTCTGGTGAGAAGTGATTGGCTCGCTTCGTGTCCTCAAGGTGCGGTGCGCAGATCTTAAGAGGACGAGGTAGGCGAGGGTGTACACAAAGTTCTCCACTGTTGTTGGCATTTTACTAGCGTAGGCCATACCACAACCTCAGAAGAAGATGCTGGGTTCACTGACATCAATGTGTGCCTGGATAGTAAGCCTAACATGCTGCGTGCGCAGGCCGAGCGAGGCGAGACATGGACCAATCCCAATGTTGCTGCAAAGGTGCAGCCCACTTCAGCACTCGACCTGTTCTATGTCTATGAAGACCCGCATCTAAGCCGGCATGGATAAGTGCATAAGCCATGCATATACGAATGCATCGATCCCGCAATAGATGACTGCATGAAGTATGCATAGATTCGAGTATAAGATCAAGGCATTGTTTGGGGCTGGACGCACAATGCCCCAGCTTCATGGTGCGCAAACGCTTCGCTCCGGAATAGGCCAATCCCTCAGTTAGGAATACATGGCTGGTCTTTGCTCGTCTCAACCACCAGCGCGCGTTATCGTTAGGGTGTGCAGTCGGCGATGACCTAGGTTCATATGCAATACATATTCACGCGACTCATGCATTTGGGCTGCCATCACGCCAGCTAAATGTCCCCATGGTCCTTGTGGATGAAGCTGATTCCTGGTTCCCAAGGCATCCTGATGGTGGGTCCGGAAAGCACGAGTTGATTTAGCAAGGGAAGCCCACGTCCCAGTGCCCTTGTGCATGTAAGGATTGATTGAGAGGTGTCAATGCCAGACGATCGAGTCATAATGTATGCTCATACGCGGGATGAAGAGATGTTGATTTCATTCAACACAATCCTTTCGTTGAGAGACGGTGCTTCTTGATTTCTCAAGGAGTTTCATTGCGTTTCATGGCCTTCTCGCAGGCCTGACGAATCTCAGCCACCCCTTTAACGCCCTCCCACTTATCCAGCAGGGTCTGTATCTCCTCCCAATCATTGGTGGCCTCATCCTCCTTGCCCTCGGACAGAAGCTTCTGTAGCCGACTTGGTGCTTCAAGAACCCACTGTACTGTTTCCTTTTCTGCCTTTCGGCGGTCCGTTCCGTCTGTAGCCGTGGCCTCTCGCATGCGCCGCTGCTGCTCTTCGCCTTCCTGTATCAGACCTGTGGCCGTTTCGGCAACAAATGAAATAGCCGGACCGAGAGTCTTCGTCATAGTCAGAGGAGCGCCACGCTCGTCCATACTTCGGCGCATCTTGCCAATCGTTTCCACAGCCCGGATCAGCTTCGAGTAGTTGTCATAGACAAGGGCCTTGCGTTCACTGTCAAGTGTTTTGATATCGCCAACAAGAGTATTCTCCGCCTTGAGCACAGTCGCCAACGAAGAAGTAGCCAACAGATGATTAACGTAACGTTGAGGGTCGAAGTCCGGGCTATCCAATTCTGTTCCTGAAGCTACTACTGATGATGGACTGGACATGTCGCCGGCATCGGTGTGTCTGGGGATGCTGCGGGAGCGAAAGTTGCTTCCATTGCCTGAGGGATCAGCAGCGGAAGGCCTTAAATTGTAATAGTCCCGAAGTGCGGTGCGATTGCGTCTTGGATGGAGAGATGGAGAGACGGCTCGGGCTGTAGAAGGGGTTGACGAGGCACTTAGACCTCCGCCGACATTCGTATTCAAAGTGTCAAGAGATGGACGGCGTGATGATGCTGGCGTGGGTGAGTGTGCGCGAGAGGAAGCAATCGACGGACGGGGAGACGAGAGTGTCGACATTATGAGGGCAGGGCAGGACTTTCTGTGGCGAGCGAAAGACACCAAAGTGATTGTCGAAATGATATGACAGTCGGAGGAGAAACGTAAATGATAGGAGACGGAGTTAAGCAGTGGTCCGTGCTTCCCCCAAACCAGATTCGATCAGAAATCGAGAATAGCTTCACCTTTCAGATATTAGTCGGCTTGCAATATGTGCAATCAATATAGGCATGACACGATTTGCGTATACTCGTACATTTGCCGATTGAATTAAATACAGTCTGCAACCACGATGGCGAACATCCAAGCGCAAATATCTGCCGAACTACTCAACAGCAAATCCCTCCCCGTATCTCAATCCTGGCTGAATAACTTCATCTCCTCATCAACAGCATCTCAGCGCAATGTCCCTCTTTCTGCCATTATTCGAACCGCTCTATTCCGGATTCTCGCTTCAGATTTCAGGGAATCGCTATCAACAAGGACACCATCATTCCTACTCCCTGTTGACATATTCGATACTTCAGTTCAAGAAAGGTGTCTACAAGGCCCAGTCCCCTTGCAAATCGTGGATATAGAAGACATCGGAACAAGTTTATGGAGTCAAGTCGAAGCGATTGAGCGTATTGAACGCGGCGAGGCTATTCGGGGGCGCGAGATCGTGCGGACAGTCAACGTGGACGAAGACAGTGAGGAGCGCGCAGCACGTGCTGGTAATAACAGGACCGCAAATTCAGCGGCAAGCGGAGTCGGAAGTACTAGCAATGGCCCTCATCGATTGATACTACAGGATGCGGCAGGGACTCGAGCCGTAGCTATCGAGCTGAAACGCGTTGAAGGCATTGGGCTGGGTAAGATACCCATTGGCGCGAAACTCCTGTTGCGTGATGCGACGGTCGCCCGGGGTATGATTCTACTGACGCCTGAATGTGTAACCCTGCTTGGAGGCAAGATTGAGACTTTGGACCAAGCATGGAAAGAGGGAAGGAAGGCCAAGTTAACGGCTCGGATTACAGAGATGGAAAGGTCGCAGGTGTCGTGATCCCAAACATAAGATTCAAGGGGCGCTGAAGCGGCACATCCGGAGATCTAGTGACTTTCTCTGCACGATCTCCGTTTGTCAAAGAAGGCAAGCCTGGGTCATCTAAGTCTGCACATCAAGTGGCCTCTATCATAATACTCGGTCATGCCTATGGCTTTATCCACCAGGGTACATTGCATGCCTTTCTTGAACGTGGATGTCGTTGTGCACTAGTGAGCTACTGAAACCTTGTTCTACAGAAATGGCGACAAGCTATCTTGCCATGATTCTACCTTGACCCGAAAGCGCCAAGAACAAGGCCTGCTTTGCTTTAGAAGCATAATCGTAGCATTGATTGGTTGTGTACACAAGGTACGTATTTCTAAGCATCTAAAGTGTCTAATATCTACAGTACAACATTCCCTTGGGTCATCAAAGGGGTTAGACTAATTCTGACACAGCATACTTGAGCTCTTCCCAGCCACATTGCTTCCATGGTGCCACCATAATCGCCTTGATGGCATCACCTGCCTTGCCAGTCTGTGCATACGCTTCACAGAGGTCGACAGCATCCAGATTGCTCCGTGGTGGAACACTTCGCAGTGCTCTGTCAACAGCCATCTCCGCGGGATACAGTTCCTGAGATGCTGTTGCTAGCTCCTGCCAGCCTTGTGGCTGACCTGGCGATCTCATGACGGCAGCCGTGGCCTCTCCATGGCGTCTGAGGTCCTCTGGAATTTGCGAGTCCTCAGTCAGGCCCAAAGTAGAGATCGCCGTCAACAGCTTAGTCAACCTAGTCCGGTCGTGGATATCAATCTCATCTCTGGTGATCATGTTCTGAAGATCTGAAGCAACTGCTTCAAAGACATCCTTGTCGTCATCTAGTAGCGCAATCGTTCCCAAAAGTGACACCGCTCCAACATGGTCAGGGTGTTCTTCCATACAGTCAAACAGCTGCTGACGAGCCACGGTCCGCTCCTCATCACCACCCTTGGCCCACAGAACCTGTGCTAGGAGACATACCACCTCCGGTGCATTATCCGCCTCTTGCAAGGCGTCTCGGAACATGTCGATCGCGTTGTCCATTGACTTCAAGTAATAATGCGCC